CCCAAAATCCTGGGGTAATTTGGCAGAGTTGAGGGCTTCATCAGACCGGCTGTCGGGCGCTTTTTTTAATTCGGATAGCGTGTAATTAATTTCGAATTGCGATCAATTTTTAATTGCGATTACTTTCAAATTGCGATTAATTTTGAATTGTGATTAATTACGAATTGTGATTAATTTTTAATTGCAATTACTTTCAAATTGCGATTAATTTCGAATTGTGATTATTTTCGAATTGTGATTAATTTAAAATTGCGATTAATTTAGAATTACGATCAACTTCGAATTTCGACCGATTTCAAATTGCGATTAATTTCTTTAAGCTCCAGTCGAGAACGGGACTAAGAAAGTGAGCGTCTGAAATTAACGGCAAAGAACATCGACAGATTCATCGATGGCCACCGGTCTGCCGGTGGCCATCGGTCCGGTCTGCTAACATGTTTAAAAGGGGTCAGCAAGCGCCTTTACAGTTCGTGTAGCGTAAACTTGGCGTCCCAGCTCTAAATTTTGGCATTTTTCCACTAGAAGAGAATCAAAACTTTATATTATTGCAGTCGTTTTCGTTGCAGATAACTACTGAGAAGCTACATGACTGCTTGCTCTTTTGTATAGGTGTCGCCATATTTAATTTGCTTGTTAGGCTACTAGTCACCGATGATACAGCGATGATAGCAACACAGGGCTACTAGTCACCGATGATACATCGATGGTAGCAACACAGGGCTACTAGTCACCGATGATACAGCGATGATAGCAACTCAGGGCTACTAGTCACCGATGATACAGCGATGGAGCGATGATAGCAACACAGAGCTACTAGTCACCGATGATACATCGATGGTAGCAACTCAGGGCTACTAGTCACCGATGATACAGCGATGATAGAGCTACTCAAGTCGCTCGCTCGCACCGCTTAACTCGCCGCCGATTTAAATGGCTGGCTTTTTTTTAGGACGCCGACTGGAGCGGACGTCTTTATGGCAGCGTTGCGAATTCTTGATGCACAAACGTACGTCGGAGATGGAGGCGGTAATTAGTTCCCGGTCGTTGAATCTATTAATTATTGGCAAACGAAAGCCAGCCTATCAGAGCTCAGCGTCGGGCCATGTCCAGAGTCGGGCCATGTAGGACTGAAAATGGCCTAACTTCGGGCCATTAATGGCCGTCTAAAAACGGCCATTATTCGATCGCATTTGAGTGCTCTGGACTTCGCTGGCAAAAAAATGCGCTTAATTTTTTTTTGCCGGCCATAAAACGACTATGATTAGCATTTGAGTGTTCTGGACGAAATGCTTCTGCCGCTGCCGCGGTGCGCGCTACTTGTGATCTCTTCGGTCTTGTGATGACGATATATTGTACACGCATATAATTTATCTAGTATTATTTTGGTGGGAATTACGAGCGGGTTATTGGTGGCCGTAAGTTGACCGACCGTGTTGACCTTGCTATAATTTTATATATATTTGGAACTTTTTTTTGTGAGGGGGCATGGAGAAAACTTGATAGGTATGGCCTTGAGATTTCTTTGAAGTCATTTTGAGCTTTCATATGTCAATTGTTGTCTATAGTACAACAGTTATTTTGCTTTATTTGGCCTTTTTTGTTGAAGATGAACGATTTTAAATTTCATTTAAAATGCCCTACTACGTTTTAGTCGAATAAATAAAATTTAACTTGTGGGGCCCAAAACTTAAAAAAAGTTTCCTTTTTAAACACCATTCGACGTCCTCATTATTTTGTGTAACTAATTAACGATAATATACTGAAATCAGCGGCATAATATATATTTACCGCACCGAAAGCAACAGTTAATTATCCGCTGAGCAAAATTCGCCTGAGCGTGTTAAGGAGGCGTGTGAGGGAAGCGTGTGAAGGGCGTGTGTGAGGGGGCGTGTTAATTACCATATATTTTAATTCAGGCTAAATTCTGGGCTAATTTAACTCATCGCATCTACTTCAACGAACAAAGCTCGCATGGCCACCGAAAATACGCCTCTGATATTCATGTGGCGACCACTATTGCAGTGTTGTTTTAAACCTCGTCATATTTATAGGTGGCCGGCGATATGACACCGATAACGCGCCCATTAGTTCACTGCGCGGTATGACAATTTGGCACTGTGCGCGACGCGTGGCCTTGAGTGCCAGACGTACGACAGGAAGTGACGCGCTTCATGGGAAAACCTTAAACGTTTCAGTTTGTTTTTTTTTTGCCCTGAGAATAATTGACATCAAGCCTCTTGAGCTGGTGGGTGTAACGGGGGTATAGTTGGTGTCCTGAGGTATATTAAACGGATGAATAGTTAGTGACCTCTGGGGTATATCAAACGGGGGTATAGTTAGTGAACTCTGGGGTATAGTAAACGGATGTATAGTTGGTGACCTCTGGGGTATATCAAACGGGGGTAGGTATAGTTGGTGACCTCTGGGGTATAGTAAACGGATGTATAGTTGGTGACCTCTGGGGTATATCAAACGGGGGTAGGTATAGTTGGTGACCTCTGGGGTATAATAAACGGATGTATAGTTGGTGACCTCTGGGGTATATCAAACGGGGATAGGTATAGTTGGTGACCTCTTGGGGTATATTAAACGGGGGTATAGTTGGTGACCTGGGGTACATATAACGGGGTATACTATATAGGTGCCCCCGAGTGTGTGTTGTTATTAATGTTATGGGAGATAACGAAGCATATGCATGGGTGGAAGCCGCTCAGCGTTACCGTTATCATATAGAGAAATGCACTGCACCGTTATCATATAAGAGGGGTTGGACAAAATAAGGGACATGCCTAACATTTTGAGATCATAATTTTTTAACATATTATAAACCAAAGAAGCCTGTTTGTTTTACGTTTATTATTTTTATGATATTTATTATTGTTGCTAAATCATATTTCATGTTTTTACAGCTATTCTTCAAAAATTTTGTGGCTTTTTAACCTAATAAAAATGGCAAACCTCTCAGACGTTCAGAGAGGCTAAATTGTTGGTGCCCGTATATGGCAGGTGCTAGTGTGACAGAAACTTCCCGGATGCTTGAAGTTTTTAGTGGTACTGTCTCAAAAGTAATGATTGCTTTTGAAAGAGAAGGAGAAAAGTCCTCCGCAAAGCACAGGTCTGACCGAAAGTCGAAGTTGCCTGAGCGCATGGGTAGCGTTGTCTTTTTTAGCGATGTTGTCTCTTTACCTAAATCGAATTGTGAGTGACAATCGAAAGACCACGGTTGTTAAAATTACAGCAGACCTCAATGGACACCTACAGAACCTAGTTTCTATGAAGACTGTGCGCAGAAAGCGGCACAGATCTGAATTTAATTGAAGAGCTGCAATTATGAAACCTCTGGTTTCGAATACAAGTACTTCAAACCGTTTAGAGTTATGTTAAAACCTTCAGAATTGGTCCTTCGAGCAGTGGAAAAATGTGATTTTCTCTGACGAATCATAACATAACATAACATAACATAACATAACATAACATAACATAACATAACATAGTGATGTCGGCGCTGAAGTCTAGGCCTGATGTGGCCTGTCGCCGATTCTTTTCCTTTTCGTGCCTTGTTCATAGATCTAAACTCGTGTCATTTGACCGGATCTTTTCAAGACTGACGATAGTTTAAAGTAGCTACTAGACTTCCACCGGGTTCGATAAGGAGCTAGGCATTTCAAATCTGAACATATATTTATATAGTTTACTTTATTTCCAACCTCTGGCCGAGAGTACGTTGGATAGGGTTCAAAAGATGTCTAAAATGGGTTAAACAGGGATTTAAATAAGGAAAGAGGGTTAAAGAGGGTTCAAGTGAAGGCTTTGTGAAAATCTTTTTGTAAACAATTCACAATTTGTAGAAATTAGTATCTTAGAGTATTGAGGTTGTAATTGCCGCAAGAGGCGGGCATACCCCAGACTAATATATATTTTATGTATACTTGATAGAAGGTCCGTAGATAATGGGTTGAATAATATTAAGACGATGGGTTAAATAGTTTTGTGTTGACAAACTGAAAAAGTTGAGATAATCAGAAAGCAAGATCACGTCAGAAGAATGAATTTTACGAAGCGCTAAGTATTTGATGTTAATGCATTTGGCCGACGTTGCTGTAATTGACCGATGTTGCTGTAATTGACCGATGTTGCTGTAATTGACCGATGTTGCTGTAATTGACCGATGGTGCTGTAATTCAAAATGGTGATCTTATTGGAAGTAAGTGAATGGCAAACGACATATATAAGTTCTTGGTAATGTTGCTGTAATTGACCGATGTTGCTGTAATTGACCGATGGTGCTGTAATTGACCGATGTTGCTGTAATTGACCGATGTTGCTGTAATTGACCGATGTTGCTGTAATTGACCGATGTTGCTGTAATTGACCGATGTTGTTGTAATTCAAAATGGTGATCTTATTGGAAGTAAGTGAATGGCAAACGACATATATAAGTTCTTGGTTATTAGGGCTGATATGGTCTAACTAACGTAGTCCCCCTAGTGGGGGACTACGATGTAGTCTAACGTAGGCTGATGTAGTCTTAGGGCTGATTTAGTCTAACTAACGTAGTCCCCCTGTGGTCTAACTAACGTACGTAGTCCCCCTAGGCGTAGATCACGCAAGTAATCCCCCTAGATCACGCAAGTAGGCTCCCTAGATCACGCAAGTAGGCCCCCTAGATCACGCAAGTAGGCCTCCTAGATCACGCAAGTAGGCCCCCTAGATCACGCAAGTAGGCCCCCTAGATCACGCAAGTAGGGTCCCTAGATCACACAAGTAGTCCCCCTAGATCACGCAAGTAGGCCTCCTAGATCACACAATTCAGCCCCCTAGATCACGCAAGTAGGCCCCTAGATCACGCAAGTAGGCTCCCTAGATCACGCAAGTAGGCCCCCTAGATCACGCAATTTAGCCGCCTAGATCACGCAATTAGTCCCCCTAGATGACCTACGTGCAGCAGCAGAAGGGCGGCGCGTGCGGTCGCCTCAGGACCTCGTCAATATAAGGAAGAGATGACCTCCCACGAGCCCTGTACCGCAGCCTGCTGCACTACACGCAGCCTGCTGCCCTACACGCACACTCCTGCCTCCGTGTACACGCAGCCTGCTGCACTACACGCACATTCCTGCCTCCTGTCTCCGTGTACCGCAGCCTGCTGCACTACACGCACACTCCTGCCTCCTGTCTCCGTGTACCGCAGCCTGCTGCACTACACGCACACTCCTGCCTCCTGTCTCCGTGTACCGCAGCCTGCTGCACTACACGCACACTCCTGCCTCCTGTCTCCGTGTACCGCAGCCTGCTGCACTACACGCACACTCCTGCCTCCTGTCTCCGTGTACCGCAGCCTGCTGCACTACACGCACACTCCTGCCTCCTGTCTCCGTGTACCGCAGCCTGCTGCACTACACGCACACTCCTGCCTCCTGTCTCCGTGTACCGCAGCCTGCTGCACTACACGCACACTCCTGCCTCCTGTCTCCGTGTACCGCAGCCTGCTGCACTACACGCACACTCCTGCCTCCTGTCTCCGTGTACCGCAGCCTGCTGCACTACACGCACACTCCTGCCTCCTGTCTCCGTGTACCGCAGCCTGCTGNATTTTAATTTAATTGTTAAATTTAATTTTAATTTAATTGTTAAATTTAATTTTAATTTAATTGTTAAATTTAATTTAACATTTTATTTAATGTTCTTTTTCATTTAAGAAATTACTGTCTCACTGTCGTATTTCTTGGTTACTTTATCTGATCGATATTTTACATGAATTTTACATGAATGAATTTACTACGAATGAAGTTCATTCATAGTCTTTAATATTCCAACTTTAGTTTCTGTGGCTAAAATTCAACTTTGGAAAGTTTGTCCATCTTATATAGGAAATAAACTTTAATTTGATTAGGAACTTCTAAGGAAAATTCGAGTTTGATTTGCTAAATGTGTTGAATTTATAGTAAAGCTCATAAATAGAACCCACTATTGAACAAAACTTGCATTGAGAAACATTAAGATTTTGTCTAGTTTTGCATTATTTTGGTTACACTGATAAAAATAACTGGTGCAGACGAATATGTATCAGGGTTGGGTTATGGGCTGTCTCTTATACACATCTAGATGTGTATAAGAGACAGATGTACACGTATGCTGCTCCATGTACACGCAGGCTGCTCCGTGTACACGCAGCCTGCTCCATGTACACGCAGGCTGCTCCATGTACACGCAGGCTGCTCCGTGTACACGCAGCCTGCTCCATGTACACTGCCTCCTGCTCCGTTTACACGCATGCTGCTCCATGCACACGCAGGCTGCTTCATGTACACGCAGCCTGCTCCATGTACACGCAGCCTGCTCCATGTACACGCAGCCTGCTCCATGTACACGCAGGCTGCTCAATGTATATGCAGCCTGCTCCATGTACACGCAGGTTGCTCCATGTGCACGCAGGCTGCTCCATGTACACTGCCTCCTGCTCCGTGTACACGCAGGCTGCTTCATGTACACGCAGCCTGCTCCATGTACACGTAGGCTGCTTCCCTACACGCACATTCCTGCCTCCGTGTACACGCAGGCTGCTCCATGTACACGCAGGATGCTCCATGTACACTACCTCCTGTTCCGTGTACACGCAGGCTGCTCCATGTACACGCAGGCTGCTCCATGTACACGCAGGCTGCTCCGTGTACACGCAGGCTGCTCCATGTATACGCAGGCTGCTCCATGTACACGCAGGCTGCTCCATGTACACGCAGGCTGCTCCATGTA